TTTCAGGGTTTCAGGGTTTCAGGGTTCTTCAGGTGGTCATACAGGGGGTTTAAAATAATAAGGGACCCCCAATATAGAACCCCAAAGAGTAGGACTCTCTGATAAGGACCCCCAAAACGGTGCCCCTAATACTAATATCGTAAACCCCCATGTGGGAGTTGGGGGGGCTTGAGGGCTTCGTCTGACTTGTACAGCTGGCAAACCAAAAAACAAGCATGCCCCTGTGGCGCCCCCCTGTGTGACGAGTTAAACTCGAAGTTTAGGGTTTCGAGGTTTCGGGTTTCAATCTCTAGGGTATAATGTTGCACCCGGTTTAGTGTGGGAGCCCCCCCCCCTGGACAGTCGAGGCGCGGATGGGATCATGATTACACGGCCCCGGGGGTTCATATGATTTTAATAGGGAGGAGCTTAGATAAGTTCAAAAGGGGCAGTGATGCCCGGCTATCTTTTTTCAAGGCGCGGCACGTGGAATTTTCTTACGGCGCCCGGACGATTTGTCTTTAAAGAGGGACTCCCAAACAGTCAGGGTGTCCTGAATAATTCGGCCAGTTTGTCTTTAAAGCGGGGCCGATACTAAACCGGGTGCAACATTCGGCTTCATGGTTTCCAGGTTTAGGGTTTCGAGGCTTAGGGTTTCGAGTTTTAGGGGAAGTTTGTGGCTTCGATGCTTCAGATTCTTGGTTGAGCAATCGATGTGGCCAAGACTTCCATGCTAAATCAGCAACTGCTCAAACGCCTACCCGAAACCCTAAACCTTCAACCCAAGCCCCCAGTCCTAAGTACACGCCAGCCATGTCGTACCTGTTCAGCTTCCAAGGAAGCGCCCCAAACGTCCGAAGCCTCAGCAAACCCTCACCCGAAGATACTTACCCTAAACCCTAAACCCTAAAGCGACTAAAGCCTTCAAACCCTCAGAGCCAGCGCCTCCACACCTCTTTGAATCCAATAAACCAAAATCATCATACCGCACCCTTGTTCCAAAAGCTTGCAGGGGTATCCCTAAACCCTAAACCCTAAACCCTAAACCCTGAACCCTAAACCCTGAACCCTAAACCCTAAACCCTAAACCCACAGCCACCTCGCAGAGCTTGGCGGCCTCCTTCGTCAGCCTGTCGCCGCAGGTCCTGGCAGCTCCGTGCTGCGCGCTGCTGGCTTTTAGGGTTTAGGGTTTAGGGTTTAGGGTTTAGGGTACTGCTTAATAGGGACTATAGTACCGAATCTGGTATCCTAGACCCTAAACCCTAAGGCCGCTCTTAGGGTAGTTAAATGGTCTCTTAATCTGGGACCTTAAACAGGGACCCCTTATATACCCCATAGAAATTATTACGGGCCCATACTTCAGAGTCCTTTAAGGGAAGTAAGGGACCATGTTAAGGGCCCATGAAACTAGCCTTAGATTCTCTAGACCCAGGAGGAACCTAGGAAGGGGTTTTGGGGGGTTTAGGGTTGACGGGTTTAGGGTTCAGGGTTTACCCGAGAAGCTCCCCGGAAGCCAAAACCCGAACCAAAGGTGCAGACAACGTCGACGACCCGGCGCAATATTATGGCCCCTTCGCGGGCAGCTAAGGAGGTGGGAGGGGTTCTTCCAAGTTTAAGTTTCTGTTGGCGCGTCTTTTCATAAGGGGCCCGAATATTGTGCCATTTACCAAACCCAAAAACCCAAAGCCCTCTGCGTAGAATTGCGTAGAAACCTGAACCCTAAACCTTAAACCCTAAACCCATATAAGAGACCTGCAGAGCACCTGTTCTTGACATCTTCCGGGTTAATTCATTGTTGAATATGCTGTTTCACATCCTTCACTCTTTGAATTTAATGTTCTGAGGCTATGGGATACCTTAAGCCCCAGGCCCTCCCTGAATCCGAAACCCTAAGCCCCAAAACATAAGCCCGAAACCCTAAACCCTAAACCCCAAACCCTGAGCCCGAAACCCCAAACCAAAGTGTCTTGGGGGCCTTGGGTGCTCGGGTTTGGTGCGAGAGCTTGGAAGGTTGGAGGGCCGCCAAGGCAAGAATCCCCACAGCCCTGGATTTAGGGTTTAGGGTTTAGGGTTCAGGATTTTGGGTTCGAGGCTGAACATGTATTTGGGCTTTCGGGCTTTAGGGGCTTGACTTGGGATTTAAAGGAGGCCTACATAAGAGGACGCTTGATGGCGACTTCCCTCACAACCCTGCAGCCACGGATTCGGGGTTCAGGGTTTAGGGGAAGACGATACACCTGTATGTGTCCGAGCTTCTTAGCCCACACCTGCCCCCCGCCCTGACCCACCCGCCTGCCCCCCCTACCCTGGTGTTAACCACCTTCTTCTGGCGCCCCCGAAAGAGCTAGCCCTGCCGCACCCTGCCGTCACCTTCTTCTGGGCTCCCCGCCCTGCCCACTACTCCGCCTCAAACCGGAATCCCCCCTCTTCAATCTGGCTGGTTCTCAGTAGGGAATGAGGGAATCAAGGCCCTATATGTGGATTAGATTGGGATGACATGTGACCGTCGCGTGCACCCAAGATTCTCACGGTTTGGGGTTGTCGAGCAGCTGTAAAGTAGACTTTTTTTCTAAAGGTACAGAGCCAGTCTAGCTAAGGCCAAGCCTCCTTCGCCACTTGTCAGCTTAACGGGTTCAGGGTTGAGAACCTGGGGTTCATGCCTATATGGGTAGTTCTCTAAGTTAGCTCCCTTTTCGGGTCCTTAGTTTAAGGGTGCCGCGCTATACAGGCTACACAAAAAAAGGGGGGACAACAATCCAGAGAACTACCCATATGACAGCGTGTACTGTGATGAAATGGTATCGGGCGCTCCGCGGCTGAACCCCGTGCCTCCAGTCCAGCACGTGACTGGCCAGCGTCACCAGAACTTCGAAGGTCAGGTCCTCTCTGGGCACCTGTTCAGGTGCGAGGCAGGGGTCTCTTAGGGTTGAGGGTTTAGCCGAAAACCTGAACCCTCAACCCTCAACTCCGAACTCGCATGTATTAAGGGTAGATCAACCAGTAAGTTTGGGGGTTCGAGGCTGCTTTGGGTTGTGGGAGGGACTGGGTGAGGGGGTGGGGTGCGTTGGGTGGTCGAAACAAGGGGGAGGGTTCAGGGTTTAGGGTTAAGGGCTGAGGCTTTAGGATTTAGGTATCAGAATAAAGGGTTTTCAGGTAATTATTTGGGGGAAAGTAAGGCATGCTTCTCCACCTCAAACCCGTGTTCACCCTGCTACTGCCTCAAGAGGTACCCCTGAACCCTAAACCCTAAACCCTAAAGCTTCTCGGTCTACTCCTCGTATCCAAACAGCAGTTGCGATTTCCTCCACCCTGCGCACCTTGTTGTGCCGGATCAACTCCTGAGAAAGCAAAGCTGGGGATGATTTAATCCTAAACCCTAAACCCTAAACCCTAAACCCTAAACCCTAAACCCTAAACCCTAAACCCTGGCGACCTAAACCTCTGAGCTCCCCTGAGCCCTGAATCCGAAGCCTTGAACTCATGAGCCTGAATGCCCGATTCGTGCGTTTGCAGCGTTTTGGGGCCCAGTTACTCCCCAAACCCTAAACCCTAAACCCTAAACCCTAAACCCTAAACCCTAAACCCTAAACCCTAAACCCTAAACCCTAAACCCCTGAACCCTAAGCCCTAAACCCCACAACCCCCAACCCCAAGCCTAGCTCTCTCTTACAGGGTGGAATCACGCGTCGGCGATGTTGAAGTCGGGCTCACCTCTTGGATTGCTTAGGGTCGAAAGGCATGTCGGGGCGGTGGTATAAAGATTGGTTACCCTAAACCCTAAACCCTAAACCCTAAACCCTAAACCCTAAACCCTTGGTTTGAGGGGCTTGTGCTTTAGGATGAAGGCCGTCAGTACGCTGGCAGGTCGGCTTTCCGCGTCCTTCTCCCGAGAGTCCACCCCCCCAAGCTCGAGACCACGAGCATTGAAGATCAAGGGCACCCTAAACCCTAAACCTTAAACCCTAAACCCCAAACCCTATATAAACCCTAAACCATAAACCCTAAACCCTAAACCCTACACCTAAACCCAAAACCCTACATCCTAAACCTATGACCAAGAGCCAAAAATCTCGCACTCTCTGCAGGCCCAAGGTCCGAGAGGATGTCTCCGAGCTCCTTCTGGCATCGCAGACGCCTGGCGCGAGCCGGGAGCCGAATGCGCCCGCGCGAAGTTCAGTGTTTTGGGGGGGGCTTCCGGGGTTTAGGGTTTAGGGCTTGTAGCCCTAAACCCTAAACCCTAAACCCTAAACCCTGACGGTTTGGCGTTTGAGATTGGGGGCTTCGGGCTCCACCAGCCGCTTACTACAACTGGGTCGAAAGTGGCCTCCTTCGCCAGCGGGCGTACGGGTTTAGGGTTTAGGGTTAAGGGTCTAGGAACCGACGCAGCTGTAGGTGATTCGAGAGCCCCCGGTCGGCCCATTAGGCTGTAGGAGTTTGGGGCTTGGAGGGATGTTTAGGGCTAAGGTGCCCTAAACCCTTTTTCCGAAAACCTAAGCCCCAAAACCTTGAGCCTTAACCCCCTACACGCTAAAGCCTACTAAATCTACACCCTAAACCCCAAAACCTTAAGCCTTAACCCGTTACACCCTGAAGCCTACTCAATCCCCTAAACCCAAAGCCTCCGAAACCTGCTCGTGAGAGTCGCCCGACTTTTATGGTTTAGGGTGGGTTTAGGGTTTAGGGTTTAGGGTTTAGGGTTTAGGGTTTAGGGTTTATGCATGCGGTCTTGCGGACTGTCTCGAAGAAGGCTGTTTGTGGGTTTAGGGTTTAGGGTTTAGGGTTTAGGGTTTAGGGTTTCGGGTTTAGGGTTCAACCCTCTCCCCCCCCCCTCCCCGCCCTCCCGAAGCAAAGCCTCTCACACGACCCCACCCTAAACCTTTCAAACCCCAAACACCAGCAAGGACCCTTGACCTCTGGAACCACTAAAGCACCTTAATGCAAAACCATAAAGAATCTCCAAGTCTAATCAACTCCTCACATTGCGCTTTTTTCGGGAGCCCACGGTGTGGCACATGGTGCGCTCACTCGCTGGGGGCCTGTGGCGTTTAGGGGGCGGTTAAGTCCAGGTTCAAGGCCCGTGGGAAGGGTAGTTAAAAACGCATGGTCAGAAGTGCTCCAAATATTGAGAGACTGGTGTTGCCCTACTTCTAAACCAGATTTTTTAACTAACCCTGACTCTGCAAACCCTAAACCCTAGAGCTAACATGTCGTCAATCACTTATTATTACTGGCATTCTACCGTGTTATTCGGAATCATTAAAGCTTCCACCTTTAGGACGCATTATAATACGACTAGTCATATATTCGAAAAGGACACAGCAAAGTCATGCGATTAAGAGGGCTCTTTGAGCGCTGCTTTCCTTGGATTGTTTTTTAATTGCATCCTCGTGACGGTAACTTCAATAGCATTATAAACGTCCCATCTTTCCTGGCGGACACGGGGCAGCTAAGGTGTTATATGGTACATGAAAGGCTGTTCTCCCTCTAGTGCCAAGCGATCCGTTCGTACCTTTTGGCAGTATCTGTCTGCTTAAGGTTATGCCACCTGCAAGCCCTAGAAACCATAAGCCCGAAACTCTAAGCTGTCTCGCTCTACACACCACTCACATGTCAGGCTTGGAGTTAGGGCGGATTAGGGTTTAGGGTTTAGGGTTTCGGGGTTTAGGGATTTAGTTCGAGTTCGGAGTTTAGTTGGGGTTTTAGGGTTTGAGGGGCGTAGGGTTTTCAAAAACAGTCGGGTCCCACCACCGCCAGCAGACATTGAATCCCCGTAGACAAAAACCCCCGACCAGGCACCTCAAATGGTCAAAGCCTCCCAGCTTAGATAACGGCTCAGGGCCCTACACCCTAAACCCTAAACCCTAAACCCTCACCCCAAACCCTCAACCCTAAATCCAGGGCCTCCCCGGTGCCCAGGCGGATCACGGCGCCGGTGACATTGTCCTGAACCCCCCCCAAAACAACCCTATGTGGGGGTTTCCGAGAAGTACTGTTTAGGGTTTAGGGTTTAGGGTTTAGAGTTTAGGGGAACCTTATTGGGATCCTGCTATCTGGGGGGTCATTTTTTGAGGTCCTCTATTTTCGTAAACCCCCATATTCTCCTAGACCCGAAGAGTCAGCTGGGAATGTAAAGGGTGCCGTTTTCTGCTTTAAAGCGAGGGGGGGGGAGTGGGGCTATGACGGAACCCTAACCCCCGCCCCGCTCCCCCCCCCAAAGGAGAATGAGGGCCTCTCTGGGTCGTAGTTTCTGTCAAAGGGGGGACCCACCCAGGGTTGGTTTAGGGTTTAGGGTTCAATCGTGAAAACCGGAGGGTTGCTCAGGGCTTAAGGGCTCTGTACCACCTGGCGAGTAGAAGACCAATTTGGGTTAAGGGTTTAGGGTTTAGGACCAAACTCCATGTCCGGGACGGCACTTGCACGAAGCCGGCTGAGTAGGCCTGGTCCAGTACTAGGGGGCGTTGTCCCTGCTCCCCCCCGAAGTGGAACAACCTTTGGAGGCGTGCTTTCAGCAGGTGAGATGGAAGGTGGTCTGCGCGAGCGACCCGCGGCAACTTGTGAGCGTAGGCCGAGGCCGTGGCACCTAAACCCTAAACCCTAAACCCTAAACCCTAAACCCTAAACCCTAAACCCTAAACCCTAAACCCTAAACCCTAAACCCTAAACCCTAAACCCTAAACCCTTGGCAAGAGCAGCTTCGGCCGGAAAAGCTTCAGCATTCGGCCTGCCCAATCGGATGTCGTGGGGTGTATGCGCTTCAAGATGCCGGGATTATGGATGTACGTACCTGTAGGGTTTAGGACTGAGGGTGCACAGCAGCATGTCCAAAAATGCCTCGCTGGTAGCTAGTCCAGGGTTTAGGGTTTAGGGTTAGAAGCCCTGAAAAAGGTCGCCCTCTCTGCTTGGATGGAGGGTTCTGTGGCCCGTCCTGCAGCTTGACAACCCTACACAAACGCATAGTTTCTCTCCAAAATGCCACCCCAAAGAATGAAAACCTTAAACCCTAAACCCTAAACCCTAAACCCCTAAACCCTAAACCCTAAACCCTAAACCCTAAACCCTAAACCCTAAACCCTAAACCCTAAACCCAAACCTTCTTTGGGCTTTGGCCTTGGTGTCGCGCTGCAACGCCGCCCAAACGACGTCCGCCGCAGCCGCCACAGCGCTGCCTCCTCCCGCGGGCTTCGAATGGGGGTTGGTTGAGGGTTTAGGGTTTTAGGGTTTTAGGGCTTTAGGGTTTTAGGGTTTTAGGGTTTTAGGGTTTTAGGGTTTGAGGGTTTGAGGGTTTGAGGGTTTGAGGGTTTGAGGGTTTGAGGGTTTGAGGGTTTGAGGGCTTTAGGGCTTTAGGGCTTTAGGGGTTTAGGGTTTTAGGGTTTTAGGGTTTTAGGGTTTTAGGGTTTTAGGGTTTTAGGGTTTTAGGGTTTTAGGGTTTTAGGGTTTTAGGGTTTTAGGGTTTTAGGGTTTTAGGGTTTTAGGGTTTTTTTAGGGTTTAGGGTTTTAGGGTTTTAGGGTTTTAGGGTTTTAGGGTTTTAGGTTTTTTAGGGTTTTTAGGGTTTTAGGGTTTAGGGTTTAGGGTTTAGGGTTTAGGGTTTAGGGTTTAGGGTTTAGGGTTAGGGTTTAGGGTTTAGGGTTTAGGGTTTAGGGTTTAGGGTTTAGGGTTTAGGGTTTAGGGGTGAAGGTTTGAGGGTTTGAGGGTTTGAGGGTTTGAGGGTTTGAGGTTTGAGGGTTTGAGGGTTTGAGGGTTTGAGGGTTTGAGGTTTGAGGGTTTGAGGGTTTGAGGGTTTGAGGGTTTGAGGTTTGAGGGTTTGAGGGTTTGAGGGTTTGAGGGTTTGAGGGTTTGAGGGTTTGAGGGTTTTAGGGTTTTAGGGTTTTAGGGTTTTAGGGTTTTAGGGTTTTAGGGTTTTAGGGTTTTAGGGTTTGAGGGTTTTAGAGTTTTAGGGTTTTAGGGTTTAGGGTTGTAGGGTTTTGAGGATTTTGAGGGTTTGGGGTCTGGGGTTTAGTTAGGCGTCTTTTGAACGATACTCTCCTTAGAACCATGGCAAGCAGTATCTTCTTGTTGATACTCCCTGTGGTTTTGTGTATAAACGAAGTCAGACATAATTCCTCAGGAAAAAATGCAGAGAAGGTGCCGGGCCTTGGGGTTCAGGGCTTTCAGGCTTGAAGGGACGCTTCGGGTCTAAGAAATAGGGTTTAGGGTTGAGGGTTTCGGGTTTAGCAATAAGCCTTAAACCCTAAACCCCACTAAGCCTTACTAAAGCCCTACTAAACCCTAAATCTTGAACCCTAAGCCCTAAACCCTAGACATCTCAAACCCCAAGCCCGAAACCCTAAACCCTAAACATCTCAACCCGGCACCCTCAACCCCGCATCAAAAAAACAGGGGGAGATGTGGCCTCGCGCGCCCCGCACTGCTAAGGCTGCGACCTGCGAAGTGCAGGTCAGGGGTTCTAGGGGCCTGAGTCGGGGTATAAGGTAAGGGGGGCAATAAGGGGGGGTAATAAGGGGGAATAGGGGGGAATAAGGGGTATACGCTTAGCGTCAAGGGGGTTATTGAGGGGGGCTTTAGGGTCTTAACAAAGCAATTTGGGATTCTGAGCTCTCGGGGGCATTCGGGTCTCGGGGGTTTTTGGCCATCATCGGGCTTCAGGCGCTGTAATATGTAGGGCTTTAGGGGCGGTAGTTTTTGGGCCTACTCGGGTTAGATCTTCAGGGCTTTGAAGGCCAACACATGTTGTCCGAAACATGCGGACCGAGCTTACTTCTGTAACCCTCATTCCCTAAACCCTAAACCCTAAACCCTAAACCCTAAACCCTAAGCCCTAAGCCCTAAACCCTAAACTAAACCCTAGACCCTCTTTCTTTTCTCCGGAGGGGGCGGGGGGAGGTAGGGCGGTGGTCGGTCTGGTAAGACAGCATCTTGACCCCTTAGGGTACACTAAGCCATGGTTGGGATAGTATTAAAATTTGAACTTATGTTCCTTCTTGAGTTTAAGTGCCCTTAAGCATGTAAAATGCTACCCCACTATGACAAAGTAGAGGGTGTAGGGTTCAGGGAATAAGGTTTGGGGACCCAAAGCTGCGGCTCAATTCTTTGTGGGGGGTCGGGGTCTATTGTTCTTTGGTAAACCTTTCAGGAACCTATATTCCACCCCCCCCCCCCCCGCCCCGAAGCCCCCCCACAAAAAAAAAACCAAGTACCCCCAAAGTAGGGATTTAGGGCTTAGGGTTTTAAGCTTCAAGTGAACCCACCCGACCCCAGAAGCCAAGACTTCATTTGGGCTTGGGTACAGTTTAGGGATAAGGTTTGGGTGTTAGGTTTCGGGTTTGTAGGGGGCGTGCGTAGGTTTAGCGCTTGTGGGGTTTTAATTTCAGAAAGATGTGAGGCTTACGAGGTCAGCGTTTCAACCCAAGACAGGCCCAACCCTTAGTAGCCCAGTAACCATATTGCAATGCGGGCACCCTTTTTTTGGGTTGGTTATTTTATAAGGAACCCAGGACGCCAACAAAAAGGGAAAAAGGGTCCAACCAAAATGAACCAAAACCTCCCCCAAGCAGCTGGCAAGCAGGCCTCCGCGCTCGGGACAACATCCAACACACCGTCCGACGCCAGCCTGACTCATATGCCGGTTTCTAGTACCCTAAACCCTAAACCCTAAACCTTAAACCCTAAACTCTAAACCATGAAGGAAGTAAAGTGCCCCATCGCGCCTTCAAGGAACCCACCGTTCCATTTGTCATGACACTTTCGTGCGAGGGTCTCAGGATTGGGTTCCCGAAACCCTAAACCCGAAACCCGAAACCCTAAACCATAAACCCTCACGTCTCTTCACGCCCGCCCAAAGCCGCAATTGGAAGGGCGTGAGCCCCAGTGGACGCATGCACTTTGCCCAGGCAGCAACTCGACAGGTTCATCCGTAGCAACAAGTTGGGTTTAGGGTTTAGGGTTCAGGGTTCAGGGTTTAGGGCTTTAAACTTTAGGGTTTGGGTCTACAAAGTCCCAACGCAGGGTTATAAGTTAGAACAATTCCGTAAACTCCCAAAACCCTCTGTTATAGTTTTGTCCAGTCTAGTCTAGTATAGTACAGCTACACATGAATCATATGAACCTCCACACCAACAACCTTATGATTTTCCACCGCTTCTTGATCGCGTTGGATCTGGACATCTCGAGTCTGAGGATGTCTCGGGGGTAATCTTGGGAGCAAGATGTGTATATATGTATAGATGTATACACATGTACTGCCGTATATCTATGTGTATGTACATATACATATATACAAGTAGATAAGCTCATAGAAGGTATAAGAGTTGAGGGTCTAGGACCTAGGATATCGACGGAGTGCAGCTGAGGGTCACCAGCACATCGCCAGGGGCGGCATCAAATTCACAGATGTCCGGGATCGCGGAGACTTTGCGCGCTCCTTCGACAAGCTGGACCTTCAACCCTGTAAGGCACTTTAGGGTCCTGGATCTAGGGTGTACAGCCTGTATAGCTATAAGCGACAGTTCCGAAAAAATGAAGCTCTGTGGGAGTACCCAAACTGCTAGTATGAAATACCTGTTTGACTGTTTGCATGTGCGTAGGGTTCTGATACGGCAGCCGTCGTTTTAGAAGAAGCTCGTGTATCTTCCCAAACTTGGGATGTTACCCCTTATACTAACAGTCCTTAATCGGGATTATTACTATAATCCTATTAAGGCCTGTGGGGTTCCTAAGCAAATGGTAGTTATATACCCCCTAAAACCCTAAACACTTTAAATGGAGGTTAGGGCCCATAGTAAGGGCCCATGAAACTACCCTCTGGGATTCTGATTACAGAACCCTATCACTTGGAGGTTCATGGTACTTAATAACCCAATTACAATTGTACTTATAACCCAATTATCGCCACATTAGCGCACTTAAGGGGCTTATAAGGGGGTGATAAGTGCAGTTATTATTGGGTTTCTAATTAACCTGAACCTCCAAGCAACCCCGTTTCGGGATGAGCAGAGCTGGTAGATGTGCATGTTGAAGCTGTAAAGCCGAAAGGACGTCAGCTCAGAGCGTTTTTTTTTCCGTAACCCTAAGCCCTAAAGCCTAAATCCTAAACCCTAAACCCCAAACCTAAACCCTAAACCCCATTGCTTTTTCGGTGCGGTATGGGGTTGCAGATTTCCCTGCCCCGGGCTTCGGCTTGTCCTTTTTGTGGGACCAAAGGCCCTAAACCCTGAACCCTTCTAAGATTAGCTTCATTGGCCCTTAATCACGGCTAACCAAAGTCAACTTCCCGCGCGTGAGGGCCGTATGTGAGGGCCCTCCCCCCCTCCAGTCAACTCAACCCCAACCACCCCCCAACCCCCAGCCAACCCTAAACCCTAAACCCTAAACCCTAAACCCTAAACCCTAAACCCTAAACCCTAAACCCTAAACCCTAAACCCTAAACCACCTCCATCCCACCGCCCCTCCAGCCAACAACCCGCCCACCCCGAGCCCAACCGCATCCCCCAGCCAACCTTAGGGTTTAGGGTTTAGGGTTTAGGGTTTAGGGTTTAGGTTTAGGGTTTAGGGTTTAGGGTTGGCTGAAGGGGGGCTTGGCTGTGGAGGGGGTTAGTGCATAAAAGCGAACACGCGGATTTAAACTGGTCTTTTGTACTCCTACCGTGGCTGTTGCAGGTTGGCCGCCCATCACTTTTATAAGACGTCTCCGTAGGGTTTAGGGTTTAGGATTTGGGGCTCAAGGGAGGGCAATGACTCTGCCGCTTCTCCGCCTCTCTACGGGAAACCCCAAACTGCTGCAACTGCCCTGAAGCTTAAACTCCAACCGCTAAACCCTGTAAACCCTCCCTAAAAACCTTGAACCCTAAAAACTCCAAACCCTAAAAACCCAAACCCTATACCCTAAACCCTAAACCCAAACCCCATACTCTGAACCGGAAACCAAACCCCTGAATCCCCGAACCCGGCGTCTCCTGGCTCCAAGCTGAAATCTTTGAAGCGGAAGTTCCCTCAGCGAGTGGGGAAGCACGCGAGCTAATCATTGCGGGACCTTCATTCAGCCTAGGATGGTCCTTAAAACCCTCTGAACAAATATTCCTACATATCACCCTCCTAAACGCAATAAGAAAAATATAAAATGTCCCCCAGGGTCTACCTAGAAGCTGATTCAGCCTAAAGTGTAAAGGTTTCTTACTTCTCCAATAACCAAGGGGAAAAAAGGTTAAACATTATTGATTACTACAAAAATAAAAAAAACCCGAAAAGTTGAAAGTTCAGGTATTGGCTAAGTAAGGTTTTGGGCTTAGGGATCTTCAGCCGCCCGCACCGTAACTGCCCCCAATCGTCTCATGAGGCCGAGAGCAAACCTGAAAGCCAGTCGAAACAAAACCTACTGGGAGGTTCATGGGTATCCTAAACCCTAAACCCTGAACCCTAAACCCTAAACCCTAAACCCCAATTTATAAGCCTACTTCCAACCTACTTAGGGAGCGTATGAGTGCAGTTATAATTGGGGTTCGTAAGGTTATTAGGGGTTGGTACGACAAGGTTTAGGGTTTGGGGTTAGGGCTTAGGACCCTGAATCCTGTTGGCCTCCAACCCCCCATGGCAAGCAACGCGAACCTCGTTTCTTCGGGTTGGTCAAGCGTCCAGGGATTTGAGGCGAGTGGTTGCTGGCGTAGGCATGGGCATAGGCACAGGCGCAAGCACCCTAAGCCCTGAAACCGAACCCGTAAACCAGAACACCCCGCAACGAAAAAGGAAACTGGCAGGGCTTGGGGCTGGGGCTTCAGGGCCTAAGGTTTTGGGTTCGGCTGACTGTCTAGAATAGGGGTTGAAGTCAAGGCCTTGGAGCGTTTTCAGGGACAATTTTCTGCAAGACAACCCCTACCTCCCAGGGGAACGCACTTGGAAGGTTAGGTTTTCGTGGCATATATGGGGGTTTACGAAAACACGGGACCCCTAACATAAACCCCCAACTGGTAGGATTCCCTTATAGTAAGGACCCCAAGAAGGTACCCACCTATCTTCGGAAACCCCCATCTAAACCCTAAACCCTAAACCCTAAACAATGCTTGGAAGTTCCCCTGAATAGATGTCGTCCGAGCTTCCGAAGGCACGGGACATGGCTAACCTTGACACGGTCAGTTGACTCAATTGCGGGGTCCCCCCATAATAGGCACCGTAGCAGAGGACCCCAAACAAATTAGAGAAGTTGCAGTTTAGGGTTTAGGGTTTATGTAGGCCTAGGGCTTAAGGTTTAGGGTTTAGGGAGATCCTACTTCGCAGCCCTCTGTTATGGCTACCCAAGGGCATCCCAAACCCTGGAGTGCTTGGGCACTTAAACCCCTCCGAAAATACTCCTTGGGTTTAGGGTCTAGGGCTTAGGGTCCTTCATATGCAGGGGATAGGATTAGGGGGGACCCTTGGGGATATAGACCCTCTGAGTAAGGTCCCTGGTGGAGAGAGCCAGAAGAGGGTTCAGAAGTGTTCCCTTTTAAGGGTCCCCCTTATCCTACCTAGGAAATATGACCCTCTTGAACCCAAGAAGGGAACATGCAAAATGTACCTAGTCAGAGAGTTGAGGGCTTAAGCTGTAGTGACCCTAAACCCTAAACCCTAAACCCTAAACCCTAAACCCTAAACCCTAAACCCTAAACCCTAAACCCTGCAGGGTGTGGGACGATGTGATGCACATCCAAGCCTTCATACCACCCCTGCTACAATGTCACAAGTGGTGCACTACGCATGGGAAAAGGGTGCCATACCTAAGCTTTAAACTCAAAAGAACCCTCCCCCCCCGGAAAAAAGTAACAACAAAAATATAACAATAACAATAAGAATAATAATAACAATAATATTAATATTAATATTAATACTAATACTAATATTAATATTAATATTAATATTAGCAAGAAATGATCCCGAGATTACCCTTATAAGGAAGAATATTTTTGTTTTTGTTGGGTGGGGGGGGGTCCTTTAGCAAAAAGTAGTTAACCCTCAACGCCTGAAGCTAGCTGCTTTGCAAGGAGCACTGCATCGAGGCGAGCTGGATTGTCGTCCTCCCGCGGCAGCACGTAGCCCCCTGCAGGGTCGCTATGTCCTAAACCCTCAACCCTCAACCCTCAACCCTAAACCCTTAACCCTTAACCCTAACCGCAAACCCTGAACTTTTAACGGTGTACTTTGGGAATTTAGGGGAGCCGAGGGTTCATGGTTCAGGGTGCAGGGTCTTCGGGCATTCTCTGGGGATTTTTGGGGGCTTAGTCAAGTTTAGGGCTTTAAGGTTTTAGGGTTTAGGGTTCAGGGTTTAGGGTTTAGGGAGCGTAGGTGCTTGGGTCTTTGGATGTAAGTCGGGAATTTGGGGCTTTAGGGTTCAGATTCTGGGTTTAGGGGTTTCGCGTTGAGGGGCTGATGCTCTGCAACAATCAACCCCCTAGACCATACTAAACCCCGAACACCGCAGTAAACCCTAAACCCTACGGACCAGAGACCCTGCCCGGAGGCGCCTGCAGCCCGAATGCGCCTCTTCTCAAAGAGGACATCCTCGGGGCGCTCGGGGTTCAAGTTTGGTGTTCAAAGCTTCGGGTTCAGAAACCCTAAACCCTAAACCCTAAACCCTAAACCCTAAACCCAAAAAGCAACCCCCAACACCCCAACTCGAAGCCCCAGGCTCATGTGGGTTTGGGGTTTAGGGTTTAGGGGTTTGGGGTTTAGGGTTTAGGGGCACTTACTAGGGCTTGGGGTTTGGGATTTAGGGTTTAGGCTTTAGGCTTTAGAGGTATCCACCAGCAGGGCTTCAAGTAGGGGAACTGTATGGACTGCCTTTGAGAAAGGCCGCGTGCGACTACCCGTGAGCCTTTAAGTAGGAACCAAACCATCCCCTAAACCCTAAACCCTAAACCCTAAAACCCTAAACCCTAAACCGCAGCTAACCCCTGAACTCATAGTTGGCTCCCAGGGGCTGGCTTGTGGTCGCAAGTCTCTGCCACGTGCTCGAAGCTTCCTCGTGAAAAGTTCGAGGTGGTGTTTGCTTGGAACTTCATGGGCAGTTCAAGGGAGGGTTTAGGGTTTAGGGTTTAGGGTTTAGGGTTTAGGGTTTAGGGTTTAGGTTATATTTCAACCTTAAACCCTGAACCCTTATGAGCCTTATTTAGGGGGCGATAGGTAGAGCTACCCCTACTTCTGACCCCGACTGAAAGGACCCATGAACCTAAACCCTAAACCCTGAGCCCTAAACCCTTAAACCCTTTTCATCCCTAGGGTTTAGGAGCCTGGGTTGGGTGCGGCTGGCGGATGTTGAAGGGTTTCTGGTGGTTCTCTGATTTCGGCTCCCTTTAAACGGTCTTCTTTCCCAAATGCTACATGCTATATCCGACCCAAACATGGGACCCTAATCTGGAGAAGTGCCCGTGTGACCCTGGATGTGGACATGCTCTCATGTCATGGTAAAGCAGATTGAGCTGACTGAGACCACTAATGACCAGTCGTGACACCTCACATCTTGGGATGCTCCTTTTTGGTGAAACATGGCTTCGAGAGTTTTTGGCGTGTAGACCCACCTAGACCCTAAGCCCTGAGCCCTAAACCCTAGACCCTAAACCCTGAACCCTAAACCCTACACCCTAAACCATAAACCCTAAACCATAGACCCTACACCCTAAACGGCCCTAAACCGTTCCCCGGGAAAGCGGGCAAGGACTGTCCCAAACATTTGCAACCCGTCTTGCCCACAGCCGACGCAGTCAAAAGCCCTACTGTCAACAAAGGTCACACGACAAAGCACGGTTTAGGGTTTAGGGTTTAGGGTTTAGGGTTAGCAAAGCTCTTAAAGCTTTTTGCAGTAGGGATTCATGGTTGCCAAACCTCCCCACCCCGCAAACAAAGGGGTAAGGGTAAACCTTCAAATGTGTGAACCCTAAACCCCTACACCCCCTAACCCCCCCCCCCCCCCCCCCCCCTACGCCCTGCAAATCCTAGGTCACCCTAAACCCTAAACCCTAAACCCAAAAGCCCAAACCCTAAGCCGTAAACCCTTTACCCCAAACCCTAAATCCTAAACCCCAAACCCCAAACCCTAAATCCTAAACCCTAAGCCCCAAACCCTAAATCCTAAACCCTAAACCCTAAACCCCAAACCCTAAACCCTAAACCCTAAACCCCGAACCCTAAACCCCAAACCCGAAACCCCAAACCCCAAACCCTAAACCCTAAACCCCGAACCCTAAACCCTAAACCCTAAACCCCGAACCCTAAACCCTAAACCCTAAACCCTGAAGCCGGCCTCGGTCGCGATAGAGCAAGGCCCGGGAGTCACCCAGGTTGGCCACGAGCACGCGGAACCCACCTAGGGTTTAGGGTTTAGGGTTTAGGGTTTAGGGTTTCGGGTTTCAGGTTTAGGGTTTAGGGTTTACACAAGTCGGGGTCCCTTGGCTATGGCCTTCGCTTGTGGATTAGGGCGCTGTTGTTTTTGCACGCGAGGATTGCGTGGAACAATGGAAGGTTGGGTGCTGGGTTTAGATTTCAGGTTGCTGTTGTGTATGCTGGAAGCTGGGCCACCGATTCCTCAACTTATTAGACCCTAAGCCCGAACGCCTAAGCCTTGCAATGATTTATGAGACGGTCAGAAGTTTAGAAGAGCTTGACCTCCCCCCCCAAAACAAAAAAAGAAGAAGCAACAACTCTGAACCTTACAAACCCTATAAACCGTTTAAACCAATGCCATTAAAACCCTGCAACACCCCATAAAACCCGGTAAACCTTACAAACCCTAGACACGCTACCCTAGTTCACCTACGGCTGATATAACCCTAAGCCCGAACCGCAAAATTCACAGACCCTTAGACCCTCGGGGCTTGGAAGAGACTTAAGAGTCTGTGGCCTGTGGTAAAAACCTACGGGTTTAGGGTTTAGGGTTCTGAGGCCATCCAATGCCAACTTGGGGTTCATGAACCCTAACACCTTACACGCCTCGGTAGCTCAGCAACCATGTTATAATAAGGGCACTCTGTTTGGGGTTGGCTACTTTATAAGGGAACCCAGAACCCAAAAAAAAAAGGGTGAAGGGTACCACGGGGCAGCTCTAGGGAGCCATTTCCCACAAGCAGTGTTTTCCGAGGCGTGCGCCACTCAACTAGCGAGGCCGCACTCCGCAGCTACTGCCCCCCGCCCTCCAAAGTAGGTCTGGAACAGGTACGCCGCTGCGGAGCTCCGAAACTGATACGGGCATGTTGCGCAGAGCTGCAAAACCCAGCAGGGCTGGCAAATTTGGATGGGTACCCAAGGAGTCAGCCACCAAAGAACATCTGAAACTAGCTGATCCAAGGCTTCAGCAGCCCCAAGAAACCCATCCGTCTTCGGGACTTTCACCGCTGGCTCCCGGCCAACCACTCGGTAGACACTACAAACCGTAAACTCACCTTAGCCCTGAACCCGAAGTAGCCCTAAGCCTTTCAAGCCCTAACCCTAAAACCCTAAACCAAGCAGCCCGAACAATGCCCCTTCGCTTGAAGGCTCATGGGTAGCTTGAAGTCGGGTCACGGGGTTTAGGGGTCCCATTGAAGACACCATTTTACAAACCCAAAGCGGGACCTTAATTTGGAGCAACTCCTCATGTACTTCTAAATGAAGTTCCTGTGCCCCACTTACATATGTACCCCAAACCCTACCCTAAACCCCAAAACCTTACGCCCTAAACCCTAAACCCTGAATCACGAGCACCCGTGAGACCCCGACCCGTCTTTGGCCACAGCACCACCGTGATGCAGGTGGACCCACAACCTAAGGTCTCTAGGGTTTAGGGAGTAGTAGGGAGTACTACTAGGGTTTAGGGTTTAGGGTTTAAGGTTTAAGGTTTAGGGCCTAGGGTTTAGGGAGTAGTAGGGAGTACTAGGGAGCCTTGGGTTGCCTACTCCCCCTTGAACCCCCTCCCTTACGAACCCCTTGAAGAGGGCCTGATTTCGGACGACAGGGCGTGACACCATCTTGGCTTTGGGCCCCAAAAAAACAAGTCAAACTTCTGTGGGTTCATGGGGTTCAATCTAGGGATCAGGGGCCGAATAACTTCAAAACTGTATTCCAAGTCAACCCCCGGTCTGGGGTCTCGGCTTGAGTCATCCGAAGGACCCATCCTAAACCCTAAACCCTAAACCCTAAACCCTAAACCCTAAACCCTAAACCCTAAGCCCTAAGCCCTAAGCCCTAAGCCCTAAACCCTAAACCCTAAACCCTAAACCCTAAACGGAATCGACCCAAAACCTCTGCTGGGGCTCCTCCAACTTGGGGACGTCCTTCATAAGGAACCAGCCAGGGTTTAGGGTTTAGGGTTTAAGGTTCAGGGTTTAGGGCCTTTAATGGCCCAACTACGCCCTGTAGACCCCTTACCAACCCCCCCCCCCCCTGCCTCTCACACCCTCCCTCTGGCTCCTCATTATAAATCCTAACGGCAAACCCTGAACGTTAAACGTTGGGCCCGAAATCCTAACCTCGCGACAAGGCAAAGTATACAACGGAATTTACAGGGTATTGGACTCTGTGGGTAGCCTAAGGTTCCGCGATGCCTTGTCTGTCTTGGGAGGCCAGGGCTCTTTAAGGGGCGAAGAAGGGTTTGGGGCTTTCGGGCTTAGGGTTTAGGGGTTTAGGGGTTTAGGGTTGAGGGAAACTGTCCACCTGTAACTGGCCGCTTTTTTTAGTGCTAAACTGGCCCTGAACCCTAAACCCGAAACCCCAAACCCTAAACCCTAAACCCCAAACCCTAAACCCTAAACCCGCAGTCCCAGACTAGACTAAACAGCTTCAAGCGGCGATCGCCAGCCCCACCGAGCTGCTCCCTGAGTTGGTCGTCCACGGAGGCAAATGCCGCCTTTTTTGGTGGGTTTAGGGTTTAGGGTTTAGGGGGGGTTTGGGGTTATGGTGTACAGCATGCATAATTGGGGTGTATAGGCACATTTTGTCACGTATTGCTGTCTTTCTGAAGCTGGGGACGTTGGGCGTTCCTCCTGCCTGTGGCCACCGAATATCAATAATCACACGGAAAATGTCCCATCCGCGCAACGCCTCCAGAACCTAAACCCTAAAGCCTCAAGCCCAAAGCCTAAACGCAAGCACTTTCGCCTACTAAGGCGCCAGAACCTACTCAAACCCGTCACATATCTTTAAGGTTTAGGGTTCGGTACCCTAAGCTCTAAACCCTAAACCCTAAACGCTAAACCCTAAACCCTGAACCTCGCTCACAAGGCTGGGACTGCACCTCCACGATCGACCGCCGCATGTCAGGGCTGCTGCCCTCTGTGAGCTTCCTCGGAGCTTGGGGGAAATAACTCGAAACCCTACACGCTAAACCCTAAACCCTAAACCCTAAACCCTAAACCCTAAACAACCCTAAACCCTAAACCCTAAACCCTAAACCCTAAACCCCTAAACCCTAAACCCTAAACCCTAGCCTTGACGCCTAAGTCGGTCCTACACCCTATAATGCATGTTCAGCCCCGTATACTTGAAGGCTTACTGGTAGTTTTAACTGCGGTTGCAGGCTTTGGGTTCAGGGTTTAGAATATTTTAATTTAGGGTTTAAAGTTTAGGGTTTAGGGCTACAGTTACAGCAAGCTATAACCCTTTGTTGCTGACGGATGACCCTATGTACAACTAGGCTGGTCCGGTAAACCCTCTGGCAAAAATTGTCCTTGAATATCATCCTCGCAAATTCAACGAAGGGGAGATAGAAATATCCCAAGAACCTGCCCATGCAGATAAGTAGTACGGGCGTACCGAGCCCCCAAGCAATCTGCTCAACAAGGGCAGGGGGGCGACAAGAAGGAAAGCAACTGGGTTTAGGGTTTAGGGTTTAGGGTTTCCCGATCTCCTCGTTCCACATGTTCAGTTCTTTGGTTCCTTGCAGCTCTCTAAATATTCTGGGCCCCTTCTTCGGTACCTTTGCGTAGAAGTGGTTTGTGAAAAGAGGGTCACTCTAAAAGGGCACAATGAGTCGTGAACTTCGGATTTTTAGGTTTAGGAATTGGGGCTTCTAGGGCGCGGGTACTAGTGTGGACACCTTGGGATCACCTTGGGATCTGGCTACCCCCTTTAACACCCGAACACCTTAACCCCCAAGCCGCAAACCAACACAAGCTTCGAGACCCCCTAAACCCTAAACCCTAAACCCTAAACCCTAAACCCTAAACCCCTCTCAGCCGCGGCCCGGGGTGCGACAGGCTCGACTCCAGTAGGGATGGGAGGAGCTCTGAGACCGAGCCACCTCCGGAAATCTTTGAGGGTTTCTAGGGGTTTAGGGGTTTAGGGTTCTGGGGTTTAGGGGTTTCGGGTTGAGGGTCGTGGGGTTTAGGTTTAGGGTTCTGGGGTTTAGGGTTTAGGGTTTGAGGTTTAGGGCTCACGGCCTAGGATTCACAGGTGTGGGTTTAGGGACTTTAGGGCTTGCAGGGCTTCTGGGGCTTAGAGGGTTTAGGAGGTTAGGGCCAGGTCTTGGGGTTTGGGGGTTTTAGGGTCTGCTCAGGGCTTACAAGACAAGGCTTCCGGGGCCAGAGCTGCTAAACCTTTGGAGGAAGTCTAGAGCTTGAGAGTTTCTTCCCCACTGACGGGGTTTGAAAGGTTCATGGTTTAGGTTCTAGGGTTTCGGGTTTGGGTTTCGGGTTTAGGGTTTAGAGTCACCATGCTTTTGAGGGCCGCAGAGCTGGGACTATATGCTCAAGGCTCATGGGTCTGGGTTCAAGGTACCTTACATTATAGGGTTCTTAAGGGTTAGCGAAGCTTCGGGCCTTAACAAGTAGTGGGGAGTAGTAGGTAACCTTGGGTTGCATACCTCCCTTGAACCTCCCTAAACCCTAAACCCTAAACCCTAAACCCTAAACCCTAAACCCTACACCCTAAACCCTAAACCCTAAACCCTAAACCCTAACCCTAAACCCTAAAGCCTGAAGTTGAAGGTACCTTAAATCAAGGTTTGCGAGCCGTGCAGGTGGGTGGAGGGCTTTTCGGGTTCGGGTCACCAGGATGTTTAGCTTAGAGGTCCTCTAAACCTAAACCCTAAACCCTAAACCCTCAGTGGTCTTGGGGTTGAGGGAGCCCGACGGAAGGGTATTCTAGCCCTGGTCTGGAGCTTGAACGGATATGGTGGTTTCCGACATGAGGGTACCTTATTGGAGTTGAATAAGGTTTTGCAGAATATATGTATTATGTATGTATGTATATATATATATATAAACCACCTTGAAAGCCATGTCCACAGAGTGCGCGCTCACGTTTTCGCTTGTCAGGACGTCGGCTGGCATTCCGCGAACCAGGAGGTGGAGTCTGCTCCGCTTTGAGCTGCTTCTGCTAACAGCGTGATGCGTAATCGTCGCGCTCCCTCGCAGGCTTGATCGAAGCAGCGACTTTCCTCTGACACGCCCTAAACCCTAAACCCTAAACCTTAAACCCTAAACCCTAAACCCTAAATCCTGAACCCTAAACCCTAAACCCTAGACCAGCTGCATCTCTCCGGGCGTTTCGCCTGCGTCCAAGACATCACCAATCCACAGGATGAACGAATGCTCCCAGAAGGGAATAGGGTTTAGGGTTTAGGGTTTAGGGTTTAGGGTTTAGGGTTTAGGGTTTAGGGTTTAGGGAATACTATTGGTAATTATTCCGACCCCTATATGGGGGTTTACGATATTGGGGGACCTTATTGGGGTCCGTATTGTAAGGGAATCCTACTATTTGGGGTCTGTTTTCGGTGTCCCCTATTTTCGTACACCCCCGTATGAGAGTTACCTGCTGCCCTTACCTTCTTTAAAGCGTTCTGAAGTATGGGCCTTTGGTTTCTTAAGGTCGAGTCTATGAGGCGTGTGTAAGATATACATATATATATATGCAGAAAACAAACTCCGGGAACCCTTCCGGGATATAACCCCCGAGAAGTCCCCAAGTTCGGATCCCTGATGATCGTCTTCGGTTGCTGCCTCCATGGCCGTCGCACACAGCCTCGGATTGCTGGAGCATCAGGGCTTCCGTTTCTGGGGGGCGGGGGGGCTGTGTAAGGTGTAGGGCTTAGGTCATAGGGTCGCCGGGTTATCACAAGGGGAATCGAAGTGCAGCAAGCAAGGTTGTATCTTCAGCTGCTACTCATAATCCCAGCTCTATTCTCGGTAGCCCCTGTAACCATGTCATAATAATGTTGCACCCGCAATATTCTAAGGGGGACGCTATTACGAAAAGTTTTTCGGCTATTCAGGATTTTGGGCGTTTGTTTGGGGGTACTCTATAATGAAAAGTTTTCGGGCCGTGACTGTTGTTTTTTTTTGGTTTTTGAGGTCGAAGTTCTTAGTTTCAATCTCCTGACCCCTTCCCTGCCTGGCTGTTTGGGTTTTTTTAAATTCAGGGTCCTCGATTGTTTGGGGGGGTAAGCGTATTAAGGCAGGTCCAACATTACGGGTTCCCTTTGTGGGGTTGGTTACTCCACAAGGGAAACTAGAACCAACATAAGGCAAAAGCCTACCACTGGGCTAGCAAGTCAGCCCCCCAACGCCGAAACCCCATGCACCCCCAAACTTCCCTGACTGAGCCCGAAGCCCTTAACTTGGGATGTTCGCCCTTATACTAACAGTCCTTAATAGGGATTATAGTACCACCCCCCCCCCCCCCCCCCCCCTATTATAGTCTCTATTAAGGACTGTGAGTACAGGATGCTCCCCCTTACACTATCAGTCCTTAATAATAGGGATTAGAGTACCCCCCGATTAGAGCCGCTATGAAGCACTGTAAGTACAAAAGGGGAACATCCCAACCCTAAACCCCTGAAGCCCCAAAACCCTATGTCAAAGAACCCTAAACCCTGAACCCTAAACCCTAAAAACCCTATGTCAAAGCACAATGAACAGCCGCACCCATCACTTGGAATGCCCCCCTCCTTTACTAACCGCAATAGGGATTAGAAAAGCAATAACGCCAATTACGACAATCCCTATTAAGGAGTGTTAGTATAAGGGGGAGCAACCCTAAACCCTAAACCCTAAACCCTAAACCCTAAAACCTAAACCCTAAACCCATCACACGAACGACTTGTGGTTTAGATTCCAGGATGGAGTTGAGCTCCAGGGTTTGGGAACCCTCCACCACGCAAAAAGACCTCAAAAACAGTGTGAAAGAAAAACAAACCTATTAACTACTAAAATCCTATGAAACCCGGTAGAAACCCTACCAACACCCTTTATGAACCCTAAAACAACCGCTTAAACGCCTAAACCCTAAACCCTAAGCCCTAAACCCTAAACCTTAAACCCTAAACCTTGTGCCGCCATGCTGCGAAAAGGGAGGCCACGGAGCCCTCGATCTGGGACCACTGGGCACGGCAGAGGTACCTGTGGGATTCGGTTTTGGGGGTTCAGGGTTTAGGGTTTATTTTGGGTTGAGGGTTGAGGGTTTAGGGGTTTAGGGTTTTGGGGGGTTTGGGGTTTAAGGTTCAGGGTTTAGGGTTTCGGTTTTGGGGTTTTGGGGGGGAGGGGGAGGGGGGCTCAAGGGCTCTTAGGGTTTAGGCTTGGGGGTGGGAGGAGGATTCAGGTTTCAAACAGGGATCTAGGATTTCGACCCTTCAGGGCTAAGCCCCAAACCCTAAGATAAGGAATGGAAAGTCCATCTCGAGCCCCTGAGGGTTTAGGGTTTGGGGTTTAGGGTTCAAGGTCACCTCTGGACATGGATGGACAACCGACGCCTCGCTGTTTTCCTTTTGTTGATTATGGTGGCCAAGCTTGCACCCGAAGCCACCAAACCCTAAACCCTAAACCCGACACCCTTGCTTCACATGTGCAATCTCATGTGCCTTAGGCCTTGGGGGAATCCGCTGGCGCAGCTCGGGAGCTGAACTCTAGCCAAGTGGCGCATCATCGTTCGAGATGCGTGGGCCGTAAGCCGTGCAGAAGCCAACTTGGCAATGTTCACAGGCCTCGCCTGGGTCCAGAGTGGAGGTTGGGGTTACAGGGGTTCAGGGGTTCAGGGGTTTAGGGGTGTAGGGGTTTAGGGTTTAGGGCTTATGCTTCAGGCACTTGGGGTTTAGGGTTGCTGCGTGACGCCAGCCCTCACACCCCTGAAGCCAACAAACAGGCAAGTAAAACAAACCAAAAAGATGTGACCATTTTTGGGGCCCCGCTATAGAATACGGCGCCCTCAAATCAAGATACGGACCCAAAAAAGGGACCCTTTCAATTTGGAGGGCTACTTATAAACTCAAACCTGCACCTTGCCCGTAAAACCTGTTTGAATCCCTTGGCTTCACGAGGACAGCCAGAGACTCCTCCGCTCCCCCAGCCCTACATCCCCCAACTCCGATTCCAACCAAACCCGAAAAGCTCCATGAACCCTACAGAAACCCTTTCGAAAGCCTATAATTCCTATAGAAACCCGAAGTCTCAGGGCTTAGGGTGTCGGATACCACCTCGCGTCTGAAGCTGCAGCAGGTCCTGTCAAAGGCAGCTCAGGACACGACTAGGGTATAGGGTTTAGGGTTTAGGCTTTAGGGCTTGGCTTAGGGTTTCGGGCTTGGGGCGTTTCGCTTTTAGAGGTCGGGCTTTCGGGTTTCCAAGGTTAAACGTTGTCGGGTTTTGGAAAGTGTTGCAGTTCCGGTTGCAAGGGTTTTGGGATTTGGGGTTTGACATATACAGAATTAAAGCTCCTCATTTACGACTCTCATGACAGCAGCTGGAGGAGGGATTGAGCGACTGCTGGCCAGAGCGTCACACTGAAACGCAGGCGGCCCGAAAGCGCCGCGGCCAACAAAGCGGGCCACCTTGCCATTGCCTTTCGCCCTCTGGAGGGGGGGGGGGCCTTGCCCTTTCCGGGTGGGCCTTTGCCGATGCCCTTTGGAGACTGTCTCGTCGTAACAGAAGTTGGCGAGTCATCGTCTCCTTCTGCCTTCTTCGTGGCGTTGCTGGCATTGCTTGCCATGACCCAGCACGACGACAGAAGTGGTGCTTTTGCAGGCCAGAACGAAGCTACGTTTCAGGTGTCTGCACGGGACAATAAAGACTCTAAGCAGTCGCACGACTTCGGAAAATCACCTGTGCTGAGCGCTCATGTACACTGATGGAGTTGGAAAATCGTCGCAAGAGCTGGCTTGTCGCAGAGAGGGGTCGGCAGGATGCAGCATTAAATATGTTACGCTAAGCCGCTAAGCTTTAAGAAACCCCAAGGCGGAAGCTGATGTGCCTGTTAGCAGCAAGTCTCGAAGGAAACGCCTGCTAAGCAACAACCGTTCAAAGAACAAACGCGACTGCCAAAAGTGCGATTCTCCAATGTGGACGCCCTCAAAACAGAAATCAACAATTGCTCACAGATCGATCGTGCCTGCCTAGGGCCTCAGCTATTCTCCAATGTTGCAGCTCCCCATTTCCAAGCAGAATGTTGCTGCCCAAAGCGTGATTACCCCTTTCAACGGCTCCCTATTTTTTCTTCTTCTCTATCTCTCTATCTCTCTATCTCTCTATCTCTCTGTCTCTCTATCTCTCTATCTCGCTATCTCGCTATCTCGCTATCTCTCTATCTCTCTATCTCTCTATCTCTCTATCTCTCTATCTCTCTATCTCTCTATCTCTCTATCTCTCTATCTCTCTATCTCTCTTTCTCTCTTTCTCTCTATCTCTCTATCTCTCTATCTCTCTATCTCTCTATCTCTCTCTCTCTCTCTCTCTCTCTCTCTCTCTCTGTCTCTCTCTCTCTCTCTCCCTCTCTCTCTCTCTCTCTGTCGGGTCATCCAACCATGCATCCAAGCCGCTCTGGGGATCGGCTCGCTTTTGACCTCGGACCTTGGGAACCCAGTCGCGCTTAGGAGACTCCAAGATCCTCAGAGCGATACCTGTTGAAGGTCCCACGCTCCCCAGAACCGACGGTTGCAGAGCCCCAACTTTTGGCCTTGATGCCGGGGCACCCTTCGACCAACTTCCGCACCTGGCAAAAGCGAACCGCAACCAGAAATGCCGGAAGAGAAGGCGCAAGAATCCTTTTCGGCTTGAGGGTTGCCCGGTGGCTCAGTCGCTAACCAGCCTCGGAGCTTTAGAAAACAAATCATCCCTGCAGGAAGGCAAGCGGAGGGTTAAGAGGTGTTGGCAGAGGAGGCCACAACACTTATTGAACTCTGTAAGTCCCTCCCCCTAATATTAAAGCGCCTTCCAAGCATAGCTCTTCATATAGACTCTTCTAGGAGTAGGTTTCCCTTTAAGGCCCCTATCGCCGAAGGGGCTGAGTATGAGGATTCATTAAAGGATATTAAAGGGGTTTAGGGTCTAGGGTTCAAGCGGCTTTGGTACAGGTCTTCAGGTTTGTGCTTAAAGGGGCTGAATGGGTTTAAGGTTCAAGGGATGAAGGGGTTTCAATGGGCTTCGGGATGCGCTAAAATGACCTGTTAACCCTTTTTCCAAAACAGTTTTTTGTCGGTCTAATGGTAAAATAACCTGGTAGGTCATTTTACCGTTAGAGCGACAAAGAACACTTTTTTCCAAGAGACGTGACAGGTTTTTTTATCGGGCAAATCGCCAATTTCGGGCTTTTTTGACATTTTTCAGAATTCGAATTAAAAAATGTCCAAAAAACATAACTTGTGCTCCTGAGGCCAATTTCGCAAGCTATTTCAGAAAAATGGAGTTGATAAAAACCCAATTTTTTGAAATCACAAGCCAACAGCACACAAACCAACAGCTTTTAAGCCAATTTCCAACAAACTTTAAGCCAACAGACCAAGTATTCTACAATTTTAAGACAATTTGATATTGTGGTGGTGGAAAAAGACCACCACAGTATCAAATTCAAGTCGAGTACAGCTTCCTTAAGCCAACATTTCAAGCCAACTCACTTAAAGCCAACAAATATTTCAAGCATTTCAAGCCAACTCACCAACTCCATCAAGAATTAAGCCAGCAATATAAAGCCTTAAGCCATCAATCATTTCTTAGCTAGTTTGAGAAAAGTGAAGGCTGAAATTCAGAAAAGAACTCATCGGAAAGTCGTAAGGCCCCCTTTTAAATTCGTAAAACTCATCACTTTTAAAATCATATAAAGCCAGATGCCCCAGGGATGGGATGATTTTGTTTGGTTTGGGAGGGGAGGAATCATCAGCATCGCTTCCAACGTTTTACACATTGTGGAACTCTCCGAAGATCCGCAACGGCGTCATGTGGGGGTTTCCAAAACTAGGGGTATGAGGTTCCCAATATAAGGGAATCCTACTATGTGGGAATCCAAATTGGGGGGTCCCCTATTTTCGTAAACCCCCATGTGAATTTTAGCCGAAGGACCACTCCTTGCGCATAGGCTTCGGACAGGCCCAGGCGATGTTCGGCAGAACTACGGTGCCGGCTTTTCAAATGTCCGGACAGGCAAACCGTGGAAATAGACCCCCCTTCCCGCCCTCCAACCAACAACTTGGCTGGATGATTGCGCTGGAGGGTTGATTGGTGTGGAGGGGCGGGTTGGCCGGGCAGGTGGGGTTGGCTGGTGGGTCTGGCACCCTAAACCCTAAGCCCTAAACCCTAAACCCTAAACCCTAAACCCGTTTGGACCCGCTGGGTTGGAGGGGGTGGGGGATGAAGGTTGGCTGGTGGGGTGGGGGGGGGTTTAGTGCATCAACACGAAAAGCACGCTGGTTTAAACTGGTCTTTTAAAACTACCCCCCGGTGGCCGTTGCAGGTTGGCCGCCCTCCACTTATTTAAACCCTAAACCCTAAACCCTAAACCCTAAACCCTAAACCCTAAACTCAAGTTTTCAGAACTTGGAGCCGGTTGGAGTCCGACAGGTTCCTTCCAAGCATTGCAGCATGGTGGTTTCCGAAAATAGGGGAGAAACTTTTTTGGGGCCCCGTTAAGGGTTAAGGGTTTAGGGTTTAGGGTTCAGGGTTTAGGGCATAGAAGGGGTGCCCCCAATTTTGCGGAGTACCCACATATTGCCACACTGTTGGAACCATCGCTTGGGCCAAGCCTCGACCCACCCGCACTGCCGGCTTAGGGCTATTTAGAGTTGAGGGTTTAGGGTTGAGGGCTTGGTGAACAGCCATCTCTAAAGGTGAGCAGAAGCCCCGAACAGTGCGAGACCACTTCAAACGCAGTCCAAAGAGCAAAGCTAGCACACACCAAGAGAGCTGTCACAAAAAGCTCTCCAAGACCCCTTTGCACACACTCCCAGACCACTCCATGACCACTGCAAGGGTCCACAATCTTCGCCAGCTCTGAGGCGAGCGCGCAGGTATGGAAATTAATGTGTGTTTCAAGAGAATGCGCGGCATCTCAGAGTGATTGCCCGCTGGCTTTTGTTTGACATGTCTGTGAGCTTCTTCCTGTAGCTTGAATTGTAGAATATGTAAAAGTAAACGCCCTGTAACAAGTACACAGGGCTTCTTGAGGGTTCATGGGTAGATTCCCTTGTAGGGTTACAAGTGCCCAATTCAGCTCCTCTTCGGCGAAGAAATCTTCAAGAGAAACCATCAAAACCCTAAACCAAACCTAAAACGCCATTACCTGTAGTCCAAGCCAAAACCCTCAAACCTAAACCCCCAAGCCCCAAAACCTGAACCCTCAGCCCGAAAACCCAAACCCAAAACCCAAGCCTCATACCGCAGAGCACCCCCAACCCACCGATCACCGAAGCGTCTCAACTCCGGTCCTCCAGGGGCGGACGCTGTGCCCAGTGCGGGGGTGCCGTGCACCAGGCCTGTAGGGGTTCAGGGCTCACTGTTTTCCTTTCATGAAGGGTTTAGGGTTTAGGGTTTAGGGTTTAGGGTTTAGGGTTTAGGGTTTAGGGTTTAGGGTTTAGGGTTTAGCGACATTCATTACAACGAAAACGAGGAAGCTGCAGACCAAATTCCACCACCCCTCAAACCCTAAACCCTAAGCCCCAAGCCCTAAACCCTAAACCCTCAGACCCTAGACCTGAACCCCGTCGAAGTCCCCCTGCCCCCCAAAGCCGAAACCTCTGAGCCATGGCATGGGTCTGGCTACAAGCGGGTTCTTCGGGTCCCCTTATAGGTTTAGGGTTTAGGGTTTAGGGTTTAGGGTTTAGGGTTTAGGGTTTAGGGTTTAGGGTTCAGGGTTCAGAAACCCTACAACAGAGCCCCCTCACGGTAAATCAGACATGTAAGTACAAGCCCTTCCACTGGTAGTCCCCTTTATTTGTGTACTTGTAACCCTGCTTATAGCTGCCCGTGGACCTTCAAGTAAGTCCCAAAACACAGGTGCCGAAGTAAATTTCAGACCCCAAACCCTAAACCCTAAACCCTAAACCCCAAAAAGGCCGGGGCAAAGACGAAGCCATCCCTACTTCCAGATCCTTAGGAACCCTTATGAGCCCAGTAACCATTCTGCAATAAGGGCACCACTCTCGAAGGGAAACCTTGACCCCAAAAAAACTGATTTTTGCTTAAGAACCCCAAAAGAATTACAAAAAAAACAAAAAGCACTAATCGTATATTACCCTTATACGGAAGAGTATTTGTTTTTTGTTTGTTGGGGGGGGGATTCTTCAGCAACTACTAGAAAAGGGCAGAAGGGCCCCACTGGGCTAACCCGAACCCATCGTCTGTCTGTCATGTGAGGGGTTTCCGACAAGAGGGACCCCTAAAATAGACCCCCCAAACCAGATTCCTGTATAGTAAGCACCCCGTTGTAGGGTTCTTAAGGGAGGGGGTTTCAAGGGGGGTAGGTACCTAGGGAACCTGAGGGAAGCTGAGGGAGCCTTAGGGAGTAGTGGGGAGTATTAGGGAACCTTGGGTTACATGCCCCCCTTGAACCCCCCGCCCTTATGAACCCTACAACCCCGAGAAAGGTGCCCATACTTTCGGAAAACCTATGTCACGAATCACCCAAGGGCCTCAAGCTGTTCTCGAACGTTGCACCGCAGCCCCCTGCACCAGCAGCCAGTGCTGGGTGTTTGGTCACTTTGGTTGTCGGGGTTGGCACTCTAAACCCTAAACCCTGAACCCTAATCCCTAATCCCTAAACCCTAGGTTTGGGGATTGACACTTCGGGGGGAGCAAGGGTTGTAGGGCTTTTGCAACCCAAGGTTTTGGCACCCTAAGTCTTCTTAAGCCCAAGGGGGGGTTTTCGTGAATTAGTTTAGGGTTTAGGGTTTAGGGTTGAGGGTTTGGGGTTTATGGTTGAGGGTTTAGTTCTTCAAGAGTCAAAGCCCGAGGGCTTAGGATGTAGGGCTCGGGGCTTAGCTCGGACTCGTTTCGAGCGTAGGTGTAGGCTGCTTCCCCCCCCCCCGGGCCCTCACCCTCAAACCCTTATCCCTGATCCCTGAACCCCAAACCCTAAACCCTAAGCCCCAAACCCCAAAGCCCATATAAACCCTAAGCTCTAAACCCTAAACCCCTAACCCCAAAACCCTAAAACCCCAAACCCTAACCCTAAACCCCAAACCCTATGTAAACCCTAAACCCCAAACCCTAAACCCCTAACCTCAACCCTAAAACCCCTAACCCTAAACCCTAAACCGCAACCCTTTATAAACCCCAAACCCTAAACCCCAAACCCTAAACCCTAAACCCTAAACCCCCTCCCTACCTCCCCCTAACCCCACGAGCACGAGCCTGGCGGCCGGCAGGCGATGCGGCTCGGCCCGAACCACCAGGGACGCTCCCGGAGGTGCCTTGGCCTGGTTTAGGGTTTAGGGTTTAGGGTTTAGGGTTTAGGGTTTAGGGTTTAGGGTTTAGGGTTTAGGGTTTAGGGTTTAGGGTTTAGGGTTTAGGGTTTAGGGTTTAGGGTTTAGGGCCTTGGCCTCGTTAGGGTTTAGGGTTTAGGGGCTTGGGGTTCAGGGCTTAGGGCTTGAGGCTCTAGCGCATCTTCGCCCTGCCCAAAGTCTTGCCACAGGTTGCCGTTGGAATCCCAGAGAGCCGACTACAAGGAGGAACGGGGTTTATATCATAGAGTTTCGGGCAGAACCAAGCTGTTTAGGGCTTTCAGGGTTCATAAACCTTAAACCCTAAACCCGAAACCCTAAACCTAACCCTAAACCCTGACCCTAAACTCTAAACCCTAAACCCTAAACCCTAACCCTAAACCCGAACCCTAAACCCTAAACCCTATCCCCTACTCAAGCCCGGAGACTCCACACCATGGCTTCAGGCGAAACCCTAAACCCTAAATAAACCCTAAACCCTAAACCCTCAGCACTAAGCCCCAAACCCTCAGCCCTAAGCCCTAAGCCCGAAACCCGAAGCCCTCAGCCCTAAACCCTAAACCCGAAAGCCACACTCCGCAGGCCAGCGCCCTCACGGCCTCAGCAGCCAGGGGCTCGCCTCCCCGGCTCCTGGGCACCGTTAGCTCAGGGTTTAGGGTTTAGGCTTTAGGGTTTAGTGGCTTCTAAAATTCCTTTTCTGGGTGGCTCCGAAAACTAGCATACCTTTTTTGGGGGGGTCCTCTCCTAATATAAAGGAATGTGCACCAACCCTAAACCCCAAATACCCTGAACGCTAAAACCTAAACCTTCAACCCTAAACCTGCCTCTAAAGCTACTTTAACGACACCCCATCCCTGATGTTCAATATCTTTTGGCTACTACTAGCACGCTCATAGCCTCTGATGGAGATATTTTATACTAGAGGTAAGGGCGTGGGAGGGGGGGGGGGGTGAAATGTTTAGGGGAGGGGGATCAGGGGGGAACTCAGGATTCGAAGCAGTGTGACTTCAGATAGTGGTGAAAGTTAAAGTTAAGGCGGAGTTTCGCACGGACGTAAAGGGACTATGCGTCAGATACGTGATACGTTGAACTCCAAAAAAAGCCTATACGCGCAACTGGACCCTTTGGATGTTTTAGGGTGGACTCAGATGGTGCGAGGTCTGTAGGTTATGTAGCTTGCAAGGTTGAGACACTTCCAGGATACACCAGATCATTGCGTGAACCACGACAAAACACTGTAATCCAATTCAGAACGCTCAAAATCAAGCCCGAAAGCACAAAGTGCTGCCCAAGCACAGCGCCAGGTGTTCCGGCGGAATGTAGAGGAACGTCCCTAAAACCTCTGCCAGCCGTGCCATGGGTGTCTCCTGAATCGAGCGGGGCGAGAAGGGCGATAAGGGGTTTAGGGGTTAAGGGGTTTAGGGTTTAGGGTTTGGGGTTTAGGGGTTGGGTTTAGGGGTTTAGGGGTTTAGGGGTTTAGGGTGTGGAGCTTAAGACTTTCAAGGTGAATCCTCCAAATCCACCAAAAGCACCAAACTCCAATTAGCCAAAACTTAGAACTATAAAGCCCAAACAGACGTTTGCCAAACAAGGCCCCCCCTAAACTCCACAAACGAAATTCAAAATGAAACCAAATTCCCGAGTCCGAAACTACAACTATGAATGCTATTCCCCTTTTGATTAACCCTAAACTCCCAAGTTTCTGAATCTTAAGCCTTGAATGCAATAAACCCCTTACTCCTTGGGTTTTAATTTTCAGGCTTTAGGATTTAGGGTTTTAGGGCTTTAACCCCTTACTCTTTGGGTTTTAGGGTTTCAGGCTTTAGAATTCAGGGTTTTAGGGCTTAGGCTTTTTGAGGGCTGAGGGCGGTTTGGGGCGGCTTGGCATGCTCCGTCCTGACCAAGCCAGACCGTGTATCCCGAGGCCGGAAAAAAGTCCGACGGCGTTTCGGCGCGCACGAGGACCTGGAAATACTGGCTGGCTCTTAGTGGGGAAAGAGGGGATGAGATACCCTATATTGCAATCCCTCAAGAGGGTATGGACGTTTATATATGCATATATATATATATATATATCTATATATATATATATTTGATTATCTATATTTATACATTTATATATATATATATATCTGTATACATATATATAGCGGGCTACGTCCCTCAGTCCCTACTATTCCTGTGCAACATACCGATAAGGTTCACGGTTCACGTGCCTGGTTGGGGTTCACGATGATAAGGGACCCCTGATATAGACCCCCAAATACTAGATCCCCTTATAAAATGAGGACCCCAATAAGGTACCCCCAATATCGTAATGTCCAAGCATTCCGATATGGCGACTTTGGCGGTGAAGGCCCCTTCGGCCTCTTCGACGTCCTCAAAAGCGGTTCACGGTGTATATGCTTTGTAAAGGGATAGCAAGAATCGGGTGAACCCCCAATAAAAGGGTTCATTTGCTCCCAAGAATCCCTATAAAGCCTCAACCTACGAAACCCTCAACCCTAAACCCTAAACCCCAAGCCTTGAACCCTAAACCCTAAACCCTAAACCTCAAACCCTAAACCCTGAACCCTAAGGGTAGAGCACCTCGGCGAAGGGTGCCGCGCCGAGAATCTCGGGAAAGGCGGCTTCGCCATCGCCGTCCATCGCTCTCTGGGCCCCCTGTGAACCCCTAAAGGGCTGCTTCACGCAACCCTAAACCCTAAACCCTAAACCCTAAAACCCTAAACCCTAAACCCTAAACCCTTCCTAGACCCCAAGTACGCACTAAGGTGGGGTTGCAGGGCCTTTTAAGAGCGGGCACCGCTGGCGGGTTCTGGTGCTAACTGGATGCTTGAAAGTTTTTCAAGTTGATGGCTCGGGTATCTAGCTTTACTGTAGGAACCACGAAGCCGTCCTTTCATCGGTTGTTTAGGCTCACACAAGGCTCTACAGAAGCCCGGGCAAGAGCACGCAACCTTGTCTTCGGTAGGCTTATAAGGGAACCGAGACACTAAGCAAGTTGCAATAAGGGAGCGCTGGTGGGTCTCAGAAAGTGGCTTGCCTTCGCCGGCCCGTGCGTTTCGCATACTTCCGCGAACAAGGCTAAGTATGTTGCTTCAAGCTTGTGGACGAGCCATGATCTCGGCAGAAGCTACCCTATGGGAGCTGCAGCAAAGACCCTAAACCCTAAACCCTAAATCCTAAACTCTAAACCCTAAACCAGCCATGTGCACTGGGAAGCACCTCAGGGTGCTTTCCAGCGACGTGGAAGAAACCTTAACCTCTAAGCCCTGAACCCTGAACCCTGAACCCTGAACCCTGAAACCTAAACCCTAAACCCTAAACCCTAAACCCTCCCCAACCTTAACCCTCCCCAACCTTAACCCCGAAAATCCACCCTCAAACCTAACCCCTCAAGGGGTCCACTGATTGATGCTCCTAGTACGGCCATGACACACTGCCTGAAGATGCGTTTACTAAAGGTGGCCCAAATAGGGTTTCGGGTTTAGGGTTTAGGGTTTAAGGTTTAGGGTTTAGTTGAGGTTGCAGGAAGAAGCCCGCAGTTCTGGAACCGCCCGAATAAGGCGGCGTGGTTGAGAGTTTAGGGTTTCGGGTTTAGGGGTCCTAAACCCTAGAAGCCCTAAACCCTAAACCCTAAACCCTAAACCCTAAACCCTAAACCCTCCTAATTGCTTCGGAGCCTCGGTCATCGAGCTGTCCCATGAAGCCCTAAACGCCCTAAACCCAAAACCTAAAACCCTAGAGGCCCTAAACCCAAAACCCAAAACCCTAGAGGCCCTAAACCCTAAACCCAAAACCCTAGAAGCCCTAAACCCTCAACCCAATCCAAACAAAAACAACAAAGCCCAAACCCCTTGCCCCAAACCCGATGATTGGCCAGTTCTCGGAATCCTGGTCCCTTTGGGGTGGCCCTAAATACAAAAACAGGACCACATGTTGGAGAAATTTGGAGAGGTTAATTGGTCACTAGGATGGCCCGTAAAACTGAAAAATGTTGCTAACTATGGCCCTCTTAAACTCAATCAGGGAAAGCATCTACCTCGATTATAAACAACACAACTAGGCTGCCCAGTAACCAAGGCTTAGAAAGGGTGCCCTTTTTTGCTTAAAGGGGTTTACAAGGGAACCTAAACCCCCCCAAAAGGGAATAAGGGTACTACTGGGCATCCTAGACAAGAACCCTAAACCCTAAACCCTAAACCCTAAACCCTAAACCGTAAACCCTAAACCCTAAACCCTACATTATAAACCCTACAAGGTCCATAGCGCGTTGGAAACGCGCCGGCCGCGCCAGTCGAGCACCTTGAGCTCCGGCTGCTCGCCGCCGAAGGTCTCGAGGAACTCCTTAGGGCTCTCTCTTTGACTACTATTGTGGGTTTAGGGTTTAGGGTTTAGGGTTTAGGGTTTAGGGTTTAGGGATTTGTTTCAGGATCCCCCCCCCCCCCCCCCCCCCCCCACAAAAAAACATGAAAAAGAAATGAAAGCCCCTATATTGCCCATGGTATCTTTTCGAGTTCTTGGAGCGGTTCTTGAGCAAATAAGGGTTGAGTGCCCGCTACCCCAAACCCTCAATCAACCCCAAACCCTGAAGCCCAAAAAAGCCCAAAAAGCCGCAAAGTTACATCCTCAACCCTGAACATCCCGAAGCCCTGAGCCCCCGAACCCTAAACCCTGAACCCTGAACCCTGAACCCTGAACCCTGAACCCTAAACCCTAAACCCTAAACCCTAAACTAAGTGAGGGGTCGCTTCCGTCGAGCGACAGACCCCGAACGCTCGGCCGAGGGCCTTACAGCCCGAGCGCCCAAGCGAAAAGAGAAACGGACAGGTGAGGGTTAAGCCTCACCGTCTGTCCTGGACAGGCCAACGGACATCGGCCTTTTTTACGACAGCGTCAGTACTCGGCTAAGGGATGGCCGGCACCCAGACCACCTTTAGCGTAGCTAAAGTATAACCCCAAATCGTCACCCTTTGCCTCTGGAGGTGGGTTCAGGGTTTTGGGTTCAGGGTTTGCCGGGCCCCCCCCCCGGGGGCCCCCTGGCCCCTGGTAGCTGGATTCCTGGATCAGGAGGCTGGCGAGGGGTCCAGGCAGGCTAGTTGCTCAATTTCGTGATTTTTGGCTTTTTCACGATTTTTCGGCCCCCCCCTCCCGGCCAAGGGCTCCCCGGGCCAAGGGCCCCCCGGTCCAAGTCGCGCCCCGGGCCAAGGGCCCCCCCGGGACGAAGGGCCCCAAAAAACGGCCAAGAGGCTAAGCCCTGACGCAAGGGCCCAGCCAAGGGCTGCCCAGGCCAAGGGGCTGGAGCCAAGGGCCCCCCCGACCAAGGCCCAGGACTGTTGGGGCCAGGGCCCAAGACCAAAAACCCCAACTCCACCACCGCCAAAACACCCCTTCTAAGGGCCCCCAATCAGGGCTAGGGTCCCTTGGGCTAAGGGCCCCCCACACCGCCTAGCAAGCCCCCAAAAGGCGCCAAGAGCCACCAAAAGGCTTCAAAAGCTTCAAAAGGCCCACTAAAAGAAGGGGGACTACAAGATTTGTCCGTGCCCACAATGAAAAAACATTGTTTCACCCCTGCCCGCAATGAAAAATGTTCTTTTTTAGTACTGAAATCGATGGCTCCCCCCAAATCAGCAAGGACCTCTACGGGCCCTGACGCGCCGAAGGCCCGAAAAGGACCGAGGCTACCCCGAACCCCAGCCTAGACCCTAACACGCAAAACCCTACGACGGCCTTCAAGCAAATAAGGGCCTCTACGGGCCCTAACGTGCCGAAGGCCCGAAAAGGGCCGAGGCTACCCCGAACCCCAGCTTAAACCCTAACACCGCAAAACCCTGCGAAGGCCTTCAAGCAAATAAGGGCCTCTACGGGCCCTAACTTGCCGAAGGCCCGAAAAGGGCCGAGGCTACCCCGAACCCGAGCTTAAAACCCTAGCGATTGAAATACTCATTGGCGAAAAACTCATTAATAGGTTCCCTGACCTTTAAATGAATAAAGCCTCTACGACCCCTGACACGCCGAAGGTCCGAACAAGGCCCCGAGAGACCCCAAGAGCCACCAAAATGCTTCAAAAGGCTTCAAAAGGCCCCCTAAAAGAAAGGGGACCCCAGGATGCCCGTACCCGCAATGAAAAATGCGATTTTTTGGTAGTGAAATCGATGCTTACTTGAGGCCCTTAAAGAAGGGGAAGCCAGGAGCAGACACAAAGGGTTTCCCTGACCTTCAAATAAATAAGGGCCTCTACGGGCCCTGATACGCCGAAGGCCCGAAAAGGGCCGAGGCTACCCCCAACCCCAGCTTAAACCCTAACAGCGCAACTTTAAAACATCAAAGCAAGCATCAGAGCACAAGAAAATAA